AGCTGTGAGGTGACGGTGTGAACCATAGAGCCACCGTGCAGCCCTGGAGTAAACATTATCACATCAATACTTCCTGTAGATATAAAACATATTATCTTCCTTTAAAAACTGACTTGGCCCAACACATATTTACACTTTGTTAAAACAAGTTACAGCAAACACAGCATGGCCAGAACTCAACCCTCAGATGCTTGATGATGTTTTGCAGCTCATCATTAGCAGCTTTATGTCAGATATTTTTTACCGGGGTGAGGTGACCTCAGCAGGGCCAACAGCTATACATCTTCTGTTCCCAAACCCTGCAGTATACATCTGCTGCTCTCAACAGCGCAAACACAGAGGTGCAGAGAAAAGAGCACAGTTTCATCTTCAGCCGGCTGCACCGGCCTTGACATGCCATAACACTCCCTCTGCTGCACACTACACAAACCTGTGTGCATGTGTGTGTGTGTGTGTGTCGGTGTCTCACTTCAGCACACCCTGAGAGTCCTTGTCTAGAGACCTTGAGTGCTAAAAAGCACGGGGGCCCCTCTTCTGGGAGAAAAACCCTGAACAGATAAGAAACTTTTCCAACGGCAGGAACAAGCCGTCCTGAATGTTTCCCTTCTTCCGTGCCCTGCTTCTGACGTCTGCAGCATGTGTCAGATAGGAGATAGTAAGTGTAACAAGTTCACTGCTAACCAGAGGGATTTGGAGCATAACAGACAATAAACTACTGCACAAAGGAATCCGAGCTATGTGTATCAGTGTCGCGGAGCAAACAGTTTTTCTTTTTTTTTTCTCTCTCCAGAGGCGTCTTCACAGGTGTGCCGCCATGGCTTGAAACCAAGGAGGGAAGATAAGTGCTGAGTGAGCACAGACAACAGCTACTCTGTCTTTGTTAAACATCTTCAAGGTCCCTGTGGAGGGATAAATGGCCAACAGGAGGTGCTTTCTCAGGAGAGACTCATCTGGACCTTCAGGGGGTAAGTCCTCTTCACATCTTGGGCATTTCATGAGCTGTAATTATAACAAAACATTGGAAATTAGCAAAGCTTTTACTTGAGCATTGTTTTTAAAAGCTGGAATTTTACACAGAGTTCCTTTTAATTTTTTTTATTTTCACCAGCCAAAGCGTGCTGTTGCTAGATGTCACACGGTCTCACCCAGTCAGACAGCATAAGAATATCTGAGTTATTTCCTCCGTTGTACACGCAGTCATGCAACTGTGCCTTTTGTCGTCTCTGCCCTCCAGGTTCCGGCGTTCAGTGACAGGGCAGCAGGGCTCGTTGCACTCGCTGTTCCTTTTTCCTATGCATATACTTCTTTGAGATGTAACTTTAAAGAGGCATAAGGCATGGGAAAATGGGGCTGCAGAGGTATTCCACCGGGCAGACAGCCATTTCATCATCCTCTCTGCGTGACAGCTGACCTCAAAGAGCGCACACACACACACTCACACACTCACACACACACACACACACACACACACACCGATCCAGCCTGCCGTGGACTTCCAGAGGAAGACTGCAAAGAACAGATTCTGACAGAATGACCACAGGTGATTTTTGTGTCTCTGTGATTTGCTTTTGTGTAACATCATAATTCCAATTTCCTCATATTTGTTGGGGATTGTACTACTGTGGGCATGTGGAGCGATGTGTTGTTGCATCTTTGCTGCATTGTTGTTCATTTGAAGCATCTGTTTCCTCTGTGTTGGTGCTGTTTTTTTTAAATAAAGATATCGTGCCATTAAATATTCTATCTGACATGTATGCATTCTGACTTTTTGAACGTTCATGTTGACGGTATTTGAGTTGAAGTTGAACCGTACGATAGAGCACATTAATGACTTAGGGTGGTGATACACTAGGCAATTTTTTTGGGCAACTCTAATGGGCAACAGTGCCCAGGAAATTGCCTCAGTATTGCTGCTTTGACCTCATAAATCAGGATTCTGTAAAACTGTTTTCTCATCCTTATTGTTATTTGAAAGTAACATAGTTTACTTTTAATGAGAAACGTCGGTGGTGGAAAAAGTGTTCAGATGCAAGAAAAACACTCATTACTTTATAATGCTACTGACATAAAAGATTTGAAAATGTTCTTATTAAAACTAAACGTACGGACAATTGATATATTATCATTTATGATCTTATTAGGAGGATGAGTATTAAATCACTGCTGGTTGAGGTGGTGCTTGTTTTCACTATAAATACAATTAGTAGTTTAGCGCAACAGTTGCCAAACTAGAGGTCAGCTCCCTCCACAGGGTCAAACAAATCAAAAGGGTCGGACGATGATTAACGAGACAGGTACGATGACTTTAGTCTATGAAAACTTTGGTCCTCATACCGTTAGCAGTTTAAATTTAAATGTACATCAGGGAGGGGGTCACTCTTTGGTGGAAAAAAACTGGAACTGATGATGTTGCTGTGTTTGATTAGAGGTCACAAGCCAAAAAGGTTAGAATACAGACTTTTAATATACAAAAAATCAACACAGAAAACTAGATTGTATGTCTAAATGTAGTGGAGTAAAGAGCAAAAAAATGAAATGTGATTTGGTATAGCGTTTTAGAGATCGGTACCACTCCAGTTGGTCAAAGTCAAGAATCAGTGGCTTTATTTTACGCTAAGGTAATTATACGTTCTGCCTCATTTGGTCTCTGACTGTTATTAGAGTGAAACCATCTGCTGGTAAAAACTGACCAAAACTCAACAAGGGCCTCAATCAGACATTGTATTTTCATTTCACTTTATCAGTGCACTGTGCCATACAAACTGCTCATTTAAATGTTTAATCCACAGTGACAACATTTGTCAAATGGAGTAAAAAATATAGATATATTTTCAACTGACATGCAGTGAAGTAGAAGTATGAAGAAGCAAAGTATAAAATGAGCAAATATACTGTTATGGCGTATAGTTTAGAACTTTCAAAGTATTTCTTTGAACTCTGGGAGCATGAAACAACAGTTGTTAGCTCCATTCATTACTGGTCACTCACTATTTACATGCAGTGATGGCTGCTTCTTATATGGCATATTTTATAGCCTACAACTAAGACTTTTTTTGCTTTATTTTTTTAAGGTCCTATACAAAACAGGGAGCACAGAAAAACAGTTTTTAGCTATGTTTATGATTTATTTATAGGATGTTAAGTCACTCACTATTTCTTACAGAGTGATGTTTGGCTCTTTTTCACATGTGTTCTGTCTTCATGATATTTGTGTTCTGTCCTGTCATAGTTCCTGTCTTGTACTAGTCTTGGGAGGATGACAATAAAGTTGACTTGAGAACTCGGTATATACAGTATTTTTAGTGTTAGTCTCCACAGAGACACTGATTCCCTTATCGGGCAGTCCTGGCTCCTGTCTGTCTGTCTGTCCGTCCATCCAGCTGTGTGCAGCATCACTGAGCCTGTTAGCACCTCTTCACTGGACCCAAAGACAATCAGTCAAACACTCACTGTCACTTAACACACTGAGTCTTTGCCCTCTAACAACAGATCATTTATTGATGCTCGTGTCTCCATCAGTGGCAGGAACTATCGCTCTCTGGAAGTTGCATAAATGGATACATGGTCCAGTAGGCCTTTAAATGAATAACGTTCTTCTTATTATAGTACTTACTGATGCATTCAAGTCTAATCATCTCCTCTGATAATTGTGCCTCCTGGTGGGAGGTGTGAGTGTATGTATTTCTCAAATTCATCCTCTAAGCTGGAAGGAGGCCCTGCTGAAGAGCCACAAACAGGTATGATGTCTGCTGAACATAAAACCAACCACAAGAGCCAAATATGACGCACAGCAGGCTGCATGTGAGAGCCTGGTGCCCTGCGGTGAATATAATCAGTCACCAGCAGGTATTTATCTATATATTCTGAAGTGAAAATCATGAGAGAGAAGCCTCAGAAGCTTTAGGACAGACTGACTCAATCAGCCACCTCTTTAGCTGGTGCCACCTAATAACTTTAACGTGAGGCAATATACACCTTGGGCAGACTTGAGGGCGCCGTCCCTCCGCATCTTTCATGTAAGTGCGAACGCTTCAATCGCCACACAATAGAGTTCAATGGATCTCAATGATCTGGCAGTTACCTCCGCTTTGATGTCCCTTTGAAGATGCAAATCTCCAACCAGCGGAGGCAGAGCGCAGCTTGGAGCGATGCCACTGGACGCCAGCTCCAAATATTCGCCCGCAGCATCTTCTTTAAAGCCTCCTGTTGATCAAACTTACTCTTTTTTTTTTCGTGCACGATATCTGCCTTTAGATGTTCTGGAGCAACCTGAGGTCACTTGTTTGTCTGTGATCCTTCGTGTCCACTGTGTGGAAATCAAAAGAGCGAAGAAGGGGAGACAGAAAGAGGAGGAATAAACCGCAGCAGTGTGGTGAAAACAGGAGACTGCGCCATTTGTTCCTTTTGTTACAGTTAACATTGATGTTGCAACAGATGGCAGCACACTGGGTCTGATTCAGTAATAGCTGTGATTATGTGACCTTTGCTGGGAGTTAATTGTCAGAACTAATGTGTCTTTGTGTTAAAAAATGAACATCATAGTTGATCAGATTTATGCAGTCCTTCTATGTTCTTATTTTTCCACCGATGTCTACAATCTTCTGTCATGGTGGTCATGGTTTCTGATTCTTTTAAAATCTAAGAATGGAAACTTTAACTGTATGTTCAAAGTTATTTATTGGTGTTTAGAGGTGCTTTAAAGAGAAGCTATGGATATATTAGGCGTTATTATAATGTGCACAGCAGCTGGAAATAATATGATCAATAATATAAAATTATTTGGTTGAATGACAAAGAAGAGAAGAAACCATTTAAAGTCGTTAATTATGTTTTATTTTTTGAAAAAATAGAAAATTTGCAACAAATACATTATTTCAATTATACGTACAATTTAAATCAAAATACAGTTAGTGCTTCAGACATATAAAAAGCAATTATATTTACAACTTCTAACCTCTCTTTCACTGAGAGAAATGGGCATATATCTAGGAGTTAAAAGTTCAGTAGAAGCGTGTCGGTGGGTGGATGGAGAGGTGGGAGCGGTGCTGCTGCTGCAGAGCAGCCGGGAGAGGCGCCCTGTGGAGCGGCTGCAGCTGCGGGTAGAAGCCGCTGCTGGAGGGGAGCTGTCCGCTGAGGAGGTGGTGCTGAAAGAGCAGCGGCGGCAGCAGAGCGGCAGGAAGCGTCAAAAGGCCCGGGCGCATGTCCTGGACCTCCCGTTTCAGCTTCATCCTCCTGTTCTGGAACCACGTTTTCACCTGAGCGATGCCACACAACCCAAAATATACAAATCACAGGAACAAACAAAACAAAAAAAATGCGCATCAGGATGATTCTAATCCATATGACAGGAGGCCCAGCTGATACTTTGCAGTGGTTTTACATGTGAGATCGTCTCTTTGAGGCCTGTGTGCAGTGCCACTGAACCTACCTGAGTTTCGGACAGGTTCAGCCTCTCTGCTATCCTCCTCCTCTGGGTGGCTCCCAGGTATCTGTGCTTCTTGAACGTGTTCTCCAGTTTGCTGATTTGCTCGGAGGTGAACTTGGTCCTCAGCCTCCTCTGCTGGGTGGTCTCCCCCTCGCTGTCATCTCCAGCGTCGCTCTCAGATCCCGAAGTGTAACCACAGCTGTCTGGAACACAAAAACGAAAACGGGGCAGTTTAATTACTGTAGTCAGAATCAATGCGCACACGGGCGCCCAGATAAAGTTTATCAGAAGAACTTACCGTTTGGCGAGGTGGGAGAATATTGACTGGTTGGTTTCTTTGCAAATTCCTCCACTTGGCTGCACGCTTTTGAATGAGCATCTCCTGTTTGAAGAGTCAAATCCTCGTAATAACTTCTGGAAAGCCACTCCACAGAGAAGTTCGCCATGATGTGTCCAAGCAGTGACCTTTGGGTGTTGATGCGCGGAGGTACGAGTGACTCCTCACCGATATATAGGAGGGCCACACGTCTTTATTTGCATATGCAAAGGGATCTCAGCGGAACGATAGAAACTTGATGGTAGTTGTAATTGAGCTTAATAGAGGCTGTGCTGTAGTTTTTCTCACGTTCATGACGGGCTCCGGCGCCACTGAGTCTGACTATCAGTTAGCTGGCAGCTCAGACTAAATGATGTCTGCATGAAGTGATGCAGGGTCACATCCGCCGCGGGAAGCAAGACTTCACTGAAATGTCAGACATGCAGCCTTGTTAAAGTCCTGAAAAGAAATAATGTCTAAGAGGTGATTTGGTTTTGCACCGAGCTGAAACTTCTAACTTGAAAGCATCCGGACACTCTGACCTCTGGAGATGCTTCCAGGCTGTGAGTGAGTTTTCGAGCTGCAGACCAAAGCGGCCGGCTGTCTGCGCATCAAGCAGCTTGGTGCTGAAGCCTTTGTTATGGTGGGAGCTGGTGGGTGTGACCGCAGTCAGAAAACATTGACAGAAAGTGAGAAAGTTGCGTTTGATCTCTGTTAACCGATTTGAATGACACATTTGCCTCAGGCAACCTTGACACCCAATGGGGCTGAGGTTTTCAAACCAAACTCCAGTCAAAAAATAGCGCATTTAAAGCCTGCTTGCATACTGCTATTACATAGGGTGCGTTTTTCCCTAAAATCATAATTAAGCCCCAAGTCACTTCAATTTAAAGCGTAATGTAATTATGGGACCCCCAACTCCCCATTTATGACCTTCTAATAATCTCAAAGTTGTTCAAATCAAGTCTGCTATCTCCACATCTCATCACAGAGTCAGGATTTAACCTCCGGCTTCACATCAGAGATCAGATCCGTTGTCCATACAAAACCACAGACTCTGTGGAGCCAGCGCCTGGGGTAAGTGTAAACTCATCAGTGAGCGGCTTAATTAGGACTAATTGTTGACCATGATCTCCCTGTTAGCTGGCGTTTGAAGTGGAGAGATGGGGACAAACAAGGCATATAAAAGCAGGGCATATGGTCAGGCTGTGTTGACAGATGAGGGGTGGAGGGGGCGCGTGAAGCCTTCGTGAATCTGATGTTAGTCGCACATGAAAGTTCTTATTTTCTTCATGTTTGGGTGCTTTAGTTTGTTATTTTTTTTAATAGATTGGTTTGAGTGGAATTTGCCGTCAACTCATACATCCATTATCTAGGGTCACGGGGGGTTGGAGCCTATCCCGGCCGACTTAGGGCGAAGGCAGGGGACACCCTGGACAGGTCGTCAAGCACACTCACATTCACACCTACGGAATTTAGAATCACCTCAGCATGTTTTTGGACCTTTTGGGAGGAAGCCGGAGAAACGGAGAGAACCCACGCTGTACATGCAAACTCCACGCAGAAAAATCCCAGTGCCCCCACCGGGACGCGAACCTGCGAGGCACCAGTACTACCAACTGCACCACCTTGCATCCCCAGCTCATAAATGAGAGATCCAAATCAGCGGATCCATACAGTGCTCTATGATAAGAACTTTTAACCACCTTTATCTTCTAACCCCCCCTCCCTGGTGAAGATGAAAGACAGGATGATCCATTCATGTGGAACTAATCCTGCCATACAGATCATATCAGCAAACTTAATCTGAACAACAGGCAAAGTAAAAACAAAGCGCAGTCCACTGCTGCAGAACAGAGGATAGACTTTACTCAATGATAAATAGAATTATCTGTTATTATACACTTTTTTACAACAAATATAATCAGACAACATGTAAAGAAACTCTTAATTGCACATTCTCAGATTTTTTAAGTGTTTCAAGGAGGGAAATGTCTGTTTTGTGACAGTTGGTCAGTAAAAACGTGGCTGGTGGATCATGACATGGTGCTGAAGAGGCATCTGCTGCTGGAGGAGCAGCTGCGGGACGGGGAGCGGGTAAAAGGCCCGATCTGTGGCGGCGTAGAGAGGTCGCTGTCCGGCCATGCTGTGGTACTGAACCGGGGGGAGAGGCTGGAAGGTCACCGCGGGGACGTGGGGGGCCAGATAGTCCTGCAGTTCTCGTTTCAGCTTCATCCTCCTGTTCTGGAACCAGGTCCTCACCTGAGAGAAGGAACAGCACAGTTAGTATCAGTCACAGTGCGCATTTGGAGACGTGATTTTTCAATGTTATTAAAACGGTTTTTTTTGCAATGACAGTCCTTCTCACCTGAGTTTCTGTGAGGTTCAGCTTCTGCGCCGTCTTCACTCTCTCTCCAGCATCCAGGTATTTGTGCTTGTTAAAGATCTTTTCCAGTTTGTTGATCTGCTCGGCGGTGAACTTTGTGCGCACACGGCGCTGAAGTTCGTCTTTCTCCACCTCGGTGCCCTCATCCACAGACAGACACTCAGCGGAAGCTACTTCGCTCTCGTACCCAGAGGAATACCCGCTGGTTTCCAAAACTGAAGGGGTGAAAATCTCTGGTTAGAAATCATATCTCACATGCTTACATGTTGAATTAGTGGCCTAAAAGTTAGAAGTTGTATTTACTTTGTGATGCGCAATTTGCTGGATGCAAAGGTGAGGACAGGTTGGAGTCCTGGTCCCTGTTCCGCTCCACGTGCTCCGTGTGTTCAGCGGGCTTTGATGATTTGGGCTTTGGCTGCAGGTAACCTTTGCCAAAAGTCGGCGGGCTCGGCTGCACCACGCAGGGAATATGAGGTCTGCAGGTCGGCACGGTATCCATGCCAGCTCCGTGCTCCTCGGTCATGGAGCCGCTGTGATGGCTCTGGGCCAGCCAGTCCACAGAAAAGTACTTCACCATGTTCGCAGCGCTGCTCAGTGACCTGTAAATCCACCAAATGTCAGAGGGAGTGTGTTGTGGCACCTCCCACACGGGGTCAGCTTTTATACGGGCCTGACTCTCGCCTCAATTTGCATATGTAGAGAACCTTGTTAACGCCTGATCGATCCCGATGATTAGGGGATAATGGCTCGTTATTGAAGTCTTTACATATCCTGTGAGTGTGTGAAAACCTGGCGCCGCCGAGTCTGTGAGAATCCTCCTGAGCTCATACATTTGTCCGGCCCGACTGAAACCAGGAGCCTTGGAACAGCCTCAGCTCCTGCAGAGGTTGCATACTTTCATTATGCTGTTGTCTGCATACAGTGGCACCGGAGGAAAAGTGTCAACAGATTTCATTTTACACATTAAAGCTTAATTTAATTGGGTGCATTAACTTAAGTCTGAATATTCTGCATGACAACATTTACTGCTGATGCCGATACTGATTTACAGTTAAGTTAGATTTAGAATGCTTGACTCTCCCGATGAAATGTTAACAGATTTGATTCCTCCTGTCACCAATGATATGCTAATAGGATATTTTAATTTTTATTCTCCGAGGCCTGAAGCCCCTATTGAGCTATGAAAATAGAAAAAACGAGGAAATATTAAGTTATGGAAAGCCTAAGCACTTTAAGTCAAGCCAAAAACAAACAAAAAAAACAAATAGAAACATAAATAAGTAGTAATTCTGCTTTGCTATAAATTAAATAAGCTAACATTAACTTTATTAACTGTCTGCCATGACAGAAAGAAAAAATATTAATCTTTAAATCAGAGACATCAACAACTTAAGAGAAAGAAAACTTCAATGAGGAAGCTGATGCTGTGCGTAAAAACCCAGTTTACGGCCATTTATAACGCAAACGTTGCATTTTGCGCGATGCAATTCTCTACGTTTCGTTCTGGTTAGACTTGTTGAGTCAGATGGAAACTGTCCTCCAGTGGTTTCGTATTGACATGTCTTCGATACCCCGGTGAGCACTGGCGCCGGCTTTCGAAGAACTAGCATTTGGCGCAGGCGCTTCAAACATTGGAGATCAAAGGTATTACAGTAGCAACACAATTACGGTTGATTGTCGGCTCGTTCACATGTAAATATGCTAAAACAAGCTGTGAGGAAGCTGGCAAGCGGCCTGTGGGAGCAAACAAGCCCATAGAAAAGACTTAGATCGTCCTTAGATTGCGCGCTTTATATGGCACAGTCTGCTTTTCAGTGAGCTCATGAACAGGAAGGACCACTAGAAACTCAGAGCAATATGACTCATCAGGAGGCTTTTAGGTGTCAGTCTTCTTCAGCATCTGTTAGCTGAGGACTGTCAGTGTGACATCACAGCTATTAGATGCCAAATTAACCCAAACTGTTCCCAGGAGACAGAGTTGAACCGGTGGGATCAGCCCTCCTCTGTGAGATCTCTGCATGCAGCAGCTCGGAGACAATGTCACTAAACTGATCGTTTAGTTATGTTACAAAGCAGATAAGAGGCTGTGCCTAGTTGTCTCCTTTATCGGTGATCTGTCGCTGTGGAGGCAGGAGTCCATTCAGCCTTTTGGGGCTCTTTATCTCCGCAGCTTTGAAGATGCGCCCTGATCCCGTTAGATAACAATAAAAAACGCCCGGGACGTCGCCTGCACACTGAGCCTATTTCCTCAGCTCTGCCTGCAGGAGCTCTGCTGTGTGTCCTGCAGGAACAGCTGCACCCATTCTGGTCTTTTATTTTCCTTTTTTTATATATAAAAACTGGGGCACTAGAATGGATAGAACAACTCATTTAGGGGGGTTAATATGGTGCTGTTCAGAAGTTGACCAACAATCTAATATCTTTAATGACTCACACAGGAAGTAACAAAAACACTTCTAAGAATTTCTAATGGTAGCTTCACTCATAAAAATACTCACAGTCCTGCAGTTTCTGGATCACTGGCAGAGGAACTCTTCAACTCTTCTAAAAGGAACAACTTTAAACACATATTATCAGCACATTGTAGTTAAAGTAGAAAAACTTGGAGTGGCTAATGAGCAGTAAAATGCCAGCACTCTAATATCAGACAATCACATCATTAACTTACTATTACTAGTAAACAAGACGGCTGAACTTTTCCATAATAAGTACTGTACTGGATAGAGTCATCTTTAACAACGCATTTATAAAATGATTCTTCTGCATCTGTAAACGTTAATATGCAAACTAGCTGCCAGATGAATGCATTGGAGTAAAAAGTACAATATTTTCATACTAAATGTAACCAAATAGAAGTCTAAGTATTATTATTATTATTTTCTTTTACTTTTCTTTCTATATTTTTGGACGCTGCTGTGGCTGTAAATTTCCCCGAATGGGGGGATAAATAAAAAATATTCTATTCTATTCTATTCTATTCTATTAAGTAGCTTAAAATGGAAAGTAAAACACAAGCAGTAGGTACTTCAGGAAGGATGAGGGTTGCTGTCATCCCCCATGTTAGCAGAATGACCAGAATGCTTCTCCTTTATGAACCTGCCATCCTCATGTACACAGGTTGGTTGGAGCAGTGACATACATCCACTGGGACATCCTCCCTGTTAAAGAAATACAAGTACCTCCAAACTCACAGTATTTGAAAACCCAGTAGTTAAGTTTTCTGAGAGTTTCTTTAGAAGGGGTCTAACATCTTCACTTTGTAGGGTAACATAGATTTATTTGTCTAACACGGGGCCACTGCCCAGAGGGCCCACCACCCTCAGAGCAGAGGATCAGGGTTGGGTGCTATGCCCACCGGGTGGTAGGCAGGAGCGGGCCTCCTGGCGTACCGCCCCCTGGTGGAGTCACTGGGTGGTGTCCTGGAAGGGGTGCTGCCTGGGGACGCCATAGTTCTCCTGGGGGACTTCAATGCTCACGTGGGCAATGACGGTGAAACCTGGAGGGGCGTGACTGGGAGGAACGGCCTGCCTGATCTGAACCCGAGTGGTGTTTTGAATTTGGACTTCTGTGCTAGCCAAGGATTGGCCATAACAAACACCATGTTCAATCATAAGGTTGCTCATAAGTGTACTTGGTACCAGAGTACCTCAGGCCAAAGGTTGATGATCGACTTTGTAGTCGTATCATCAGATCTGCGGCCGTATGTTTTGGACACTCGGGTGAAGAGAGGAGCAGAGCTGTCAACTGATCACCACCTGGTGGTGAGTTGGATCCGATGGTGGGGAAGGCTGCGGACAGACCTGGTAAACCCAAACGCAGGTGAACTGGGAACGTCTGGCAGAGGCCTCTGTCCATGGGGTTTTCAATTCCCACCCCCGGAAGAGTTTTTCCTTCATGCCGGGGGAGGGTGGGGACATGGAGTCAGAGAAGGCCATGTTCAAAGCCTCCATTGCAGAAGTGGCCGTTGGGAGCTGTGACCAGAAGGTCACTGGTGCCTGTTGCGGTGGCAACCCCAAAACCAGCTGGTGGACACTGGTGGTGAGGGAAGTTATCAGGCTGAAGGAGACTTTTTGGGCCTGGTTGGCTCGGGGGTCTCCTGAAGCAGCAGGCAGGTACCAGCTGGCCAAAAGGGCTGCAGCTGCGGTGGTCGTGGAAGCTAAAACTCGGGTGTGGGAGGAGTTTGGGGAGGCTATGGAGAAGGACTTTCGGTTGGCCTCGAAGAAGTTCTGGCAAACCGTCCGATGCCTCAGAAAGGGGAGGCAGGGATTCACCCAGGCTATGTACAGTCGGGGAGGAGAACTGCTGACCCAGACTGGGGACCTCATCGAGCAGTGGAAGGAGCACTTTGAGGAACTCCTGAACCCGGTAAACATGTCCTCTGCTGAGGGGGCAGAGCCTGAAGACTCAGGGGCTTCTGCGTCTGTATCTGTGGTAGAGGTCGCTGAGGTAGTTAAGAAGCTCCTCGGTGGCAAAGAGCCAGGTGTGGACAAGACTTGCCCTGAGATGCTGAAGGCTCTGGACACTGTCGGACTTAATGTCTTTTGTCACTTGTTTGTTATTTCCACCTACAAGAATGTAGCTAAATTCACTCTAAGTCAAAATTTGTTCTGTGTATGAATTACTTTGGGCTTAACTGTATCTGAACAACCTCTATGGTAATACATATTTAGTCTATAGATGTGCAGGCTCAGTTTGAGGCAAAGTGGAGAGATTGTGTTTGGGCATTTTCTACATATCTGTTTTACATGAAAACAGGAAAAAAGAACATAAAAGAACAAAAATGGCTGTTGTTGCAGTTATCAGGATTATTAAATGTCAATTTCAACAACAACAAAAAAACCCCACAAGGATTAAGTTTGAGTCCTTGTGGTCAGATTTTGTAAAGTGCGTCAAAATATAATGTAGCCATCATGCTACAGGGAATCCCCATGAGACAAGACAAATGCATCACACAAAGCCACTACAAAATCATTAGCATACATTCTAAACCTCTACAGTGTAGGAGGAGGGGGGGAAACCCAAAGCAGCGCCACCAGTCCCACGTTCCCTGGCTGATACAACAGCTCTCTAACCTGCCACACAGCCATTCTATCACGGATATTGTCTGACAATAATACGCTTTGGCAAGAGAGGGCTTATAAAATCTCATTTATTTGGCTAAATTAAGCAAATCTTCATAGCACGTCACATTCCATCTCCACGGTGAGTTTCACGGCATAAGACCACGGAGGAGAGAGAGCGGGCAGGAAAATAGAAAAATAGACGCTGACTGAACATCATTCCTCAAATGGCATTTTGCACACTGACATCTCATTATGTTCTATCATTTGCAAGGTAATGGCGAGGTTCTGTGAGGACAGCGGGCTCGTCTCTGCCCTTCACCACACCCTATTGATAATAAATGCAATTATTACACAATATGCCGTTTAAATGGAATTTATATAAGATATTAATTTATCAATCTGCTCGTATCATTCTCATTTCAACTCCTAATTGGTGGAGGCTATGTGTTGTTGTGTATGAAGCAAAAATATATAACCAACAATAAATGGTGCAGCAAATTACATAGCCTACATTCTGCATTATTCTGTTTTCTGAGTGAAACCCTATTTAGCAACATGAAACAGATTTTATTTGAATGATCGACAACGATGGTGCTATGAGGTGTTTGTGTAATTTTGCTGTCGGGCCCCCATTTAGTGCCACTCCTTCCTCTTTCTGAGCTGCATGCACAGTATTCCTCTGTTGGAATGATGCTATCAGGTTTGCTATGTTTAAGAAAATCCCTCTAATGAAAATCCAATTGTCCACATCGTGTGTTTTCAAAAGACAAATCATTAGTAAAATTAGCAGTCAACACCACGGCTGAGCATTTGCACTTAGAAACTGCAGACAGTCTGAAAAACACAGATTCACACTTGCAGGGTTTGATACAGAACAAATTTCAGCTGATTCTTCTCAGTTTCCAGTTTAAACATGTGTGTCTGAATTACTCCCATATTACAGCCTGTCATTGTGTAGCTGAAACCAGATAAAACATGGAAGAACTGACTCTGACATCAGCTCATTCTCTTTTAGATCACATAAAGCCTGGTGGCGTCCTGGTTTGACAGTAATCTAAGTTTTGAACAGCGCACCACAGAGCTCGTACAATCATGTTTTTATCATCTCGTTTAGAAAATACGATCCATCTCAACTCTACAAGACACAGACCATTTTACATGCTTTTATCTAATCACACCTGGATTAGTCCAACAGCCTTTTACCTTCCCGTCCTGAATCAAAAATCTATAGATGGACTCCAGAACTCAGCTGCCAGGCGTTTAACCAGAAACAAGAGATGTGATCTCATCACTCCTATTTGGCCTCTTTGCACCGGCTCCCAGTATGCTTTAGGACAGATTTAAAGATTTTACTGATTACCTTTAAAGGCCCTTCATTGCCTTTCTCCAAGCTATATCTCTGACCGTACGCACAGATATGTACTTTGAAATCCTCGGCCAGAGGTCTTCGACTAAAGAGGAGCTGCAGTCCAGGCTCTGCAGTGATCTGCCTCAGGAAACCAAGTCGGTTGAGTCAATGATCTTTTTAAGTCTTATTTCAAAATGTACTATTATCAGACAGCTGTGTCCAATTTTACTTGAGTTTTACTTTCTTTGAACTATATTTTGTTCACACTTTATTGATTTGTACACAACAAATGTGTTTTTCTCTCTCTTTTAAAAATTGATAACTTTCTGTTTGCTGCCTTGTGAAGCAGTTTGTAACTTGGATTTTTAAAAAGATTTCTGCAAAGTTACATCTAAACTGTTTTAAGGCATTAAGGGATTATTTTCATTTTTTTTAAAAAATCAAAAAGAAACTTCAAAATATGTAACTCTGACACACAGAGATGAGTTTTTAGGGTTTAATCAGTGAGAGAGGCGGAGAGGCGCTCTAAACATTTCATTTAGGAATACGCACCTTGCAAGCACAAGATCAGCTGACATAATGAAGGAGAGTCAAACAGTCTGACTTCTACACCCACTTCACACAGAGGCTGGCCAGCTGTGCAGAGGTGGAAAAAAGAGCTGGAATTTCAATTTCTCCCTTAAGCTATCTTTTATCCATTGCACAGCTATTTCTGTCACTTTGTGCGTCGAACAGAGTGAGAGAGGTTTTTTTTTTTTTGTACATTTCAACCAATCCAGGTGGTCAAGAACATGTTAAGAAACTCACATCTTTGACCTGCATCTGCAATGAAGTAACCAAAATAAGGTCCTGGGTAACCATTCTAACAAGCCCTTAGGGGGACCGTCCTTATCAAAGAATCAGGAGCTTTTGGGGCGGGGTCGTGTAATGATTTACTACACTAGCATTTTATAAATACAGCTTTAAAAACCTGTAACTGTAGAGACACTGTGACCAACAGTCATCATAATGGAACTGCAAAAGAGTTTAATGACTGATGGACCAATGGGGAAGTCCTTACTATTTCAGCACTTCTGGCTTTTCAAAGAAAATTGAGGCCACAACAAAACTGACTTCAAAAATTAGTCTCAGTTGACCAATGTGGACACAAACCTGGAAGTTAGGAAATGTTTTTTGCTTATACGCCTGGAATTTTCTTTGCAATTCAGTTGGCACCAGCTTTGAATCCAGAATCCAGAATCTAAAGCACATCCACGACAGCCATGCTAGCAGTTCTGTAAGGCTATGCTTAAACAATGCGGTGCATTGTGTTAAATGCTAGTTGCAGCATGCTAACATGCTCACAATGACGCTGCAAACATGCTGAATCCGAGTGCAGTGTGTTTGCATCCAAGGAGTTAACGGAAAACATGTTGAACGCTAACAAATCACTAAAGCTGAGCGAAGACAGGGACATGAACATCTGCACCAAATTTAATGGCAACCCATTTAATAGCTGTTGAGATATTTAACTTAAGACAATACACAACAGAGGAAACATCACAGGATTACCAAAGTCACCATTTAGGAAACATGAATATTTTACACAAAATTGCTTTGGCAATAAATTCAGTGGTTCTGAGGAAATTTCAGTCTGGACCAAAGTGGTAGACTCACTGACAAATTGTCATTTCCAATCCTAGCGTGGCTAAAAAAAAAGTAGGATTCCCCTTAAGACCCATAACATATTAGATGATGTTGTGCTTTAGAGGTGCCAACCCAATACAAACGTTTGATTTGACGTATTAAAACGTTGCAACATTTTGAACTTTGGGCTTTTAGGGCGCGACTGGAGTCTCAGAACCTGGTGCAGTTGTCCACCTACCTTCCATGTCGGTAATCTGGTGCTGATGTTGGACATGCAGGCTACAGTCCAGATGTGATTATATGGACGCCTTAGCAGGAAAATTGCAGGTTCACTTCACAAATGACAAAAAAATGTCAGTTTAAGTGGAGATAGAATCATTGTAAATTACAGACATCCCCCTTTACTTTTGTCTTTATGCAGGAAAAATGCTAATTTCATAATTAATCAGACGTGGGATCAATAGCAAAACTAGTTTGTAATGGGTGTAAGTTAAGAGTGCAGTTCGTCTGGGAGTCTAAACTAATATTACTGACTTATGTTAGGGAGTGTTAGACAAATAGTGAACATATAACGTTAGAAAAAGTTTTCTAGTCCTCTAGGCTCTGCTGCCAGGACAACAGAAGCGTCTGCAGGCTGTGGTCTGGGCACGGAGCCACAGTCTGGGCTTTGACATGGGATGTTGACCTGGTGCTGGTGTCTGACTCTGGGCTCAGAAGTGTGACTGAGGCCGGTCTCACTGGAAGGTGGCCTTAACCCTCCTCAGCGTGTCCTGGATCCTCCGCGTTTGACGCTCGCTCGACTGCTGGAAGTTGGCATCGTTGTCGCCGGCCAAGCGATGGATGTCAGCGGCGGCAAACCGGGCGATTCGGCGACGAAGGTACGCCTGCAGCTCCCGGTCTGGGGTGTAGGGGTAGACAGCCTCCTGGAAGGCATGGACCTGACTCACAACCTTCGCTATGCTCCTGGAAACAACGACAGATGGACGAGGATGGGCAAAACATGAAATGGGGACACAGAACAAAGAAACAGTGACAACATGAGAGGAGTGTATCTCGGTACATATTATATCAGTTTCCCTTCCAGCATCAGCAGCTTTGTCTGTGACCTGATTCGGAGAGAGCTGGGATAACCCAGGGTCCACGGAAACCAGCTGTGTCTCTGCCTTTCTCTGCGAGCTCTCCTGACCCCGGCATCTGGCTACACCCAGTCACCTCTCAGCATCTGGCCTGAAACCTCTTTTCCAATCAAACCCCATCCCACAGACGCCATCTGGTGCAACACTGGCAATCCTACCGACAACCCAAATTCAACAGCTGTGCCATTACCATCCAACCGCCACTTGTTGTGACCTCAGCATCTGGTCGGCCATATTGGAGCGAAAGAGAAGGACACAGGAAAACGCGTCCTCTTAGCGAGTTGGCCAACTTTGTCACAGACAGCAACACGGGATGTGGGGAGTGAGCTAATTTCAAGTTAATGACAGTAACTGATCATATTTTGGGGATAGGTAGCGGGCTAATTTTACAGGCTGTTTGACCAGCATCACTCCTTTAACACAATGAAAATCCGGCGTGCAGTAAAACCACAACGGAAGAGACTGAGCACTTTTCCCTCTCAACATTTTTACTGAGATGTAAATTGTTCACTTTATGATTCCCAGCGACAAGAAAGTGTTCTGCAGAGATATTCAGTCTTTTAACTTCCTACTTACACCAGAACTACTCCATGTTGTGTGGGTGGACTTTGGCTGCTTGTTACCACTTTGTCAGTATATTAGTGAAAATAATGGACCAGTTTCATAACATCTCCCAGCATACCTCGGACTTTCTTTCCTGGCAGTTTTAATAGACATATCATTTGCTGTTAGCTGCTGTAGCAGTGCTGATTAGATGAGCTACACTTTGCAATGTTACGGTCAGCTGGTCATTAGTTAACAGTCGTTGGGAACTGTGTTTTTCTAATGTGTGTATATCTAAGAATAAGTAGATCAATGTAGAATGATTAATGGCAGCTTTTCATGTAGACTGCCGGGGGATTCCCATGATGCACTGGGCTTCTCTCCTCTCCTCTTTATATATATGTGTATGTATATGTTTATATAGTTGCCTATCACCATTGCATATGACTAACTCTGTGACTCCCCCCGAGGTTCTCCTGTGCCTGCTCTCTCTGTGGATGTCTCTGGATCTGGAGCTCCTGAATTACAGCCGCCGGCCTCACCTTCTGTATCCTGCTGCCCCACCATGATGCCTCCTGTTACAAAAGGACAATAATTTCTAATAACTTGTTCAACTGTAAACTAAATTTTAGAATTCATCCTACATTTACCCAACCGGTGGAGGCAGATGGCCGTCCCTCCCCGAGCCTGGTTCTGTCGGAAGTTTTTTTCCCCCTGCGGGGGTTTTCGGTTCCTTCCCACTGTTGCGGACTGCTGAAGCTTATAGGGAATCCAAATGTTTTGGATTGTTGGGTGTTTCTGTCTCTGCCTTTGTGAAGCGCTATGAGATGACTTGTTGTTGTAAATATGCGCTATACAAATAAAATTGAATTGAATTGAATTTACATTAAGTGTCTTCTGGCTGGAAATGACATAAATAAATGATGAGAGGTGGTTAGATATTGTGCTAAAGATATCAATGATGATTTTTCTTCCTTTTTTTTTTAGTTTACATTTCAACAAAAACCTCTAAGTCCAAATGCTTCACATGGTTGTGGTGATTTCTACCATGTTCACCATGAATTGAAAACAGCAGTCATGACTAAAGCCGAGGAGTTTCGTGAGCTTGTTATTAGTTCATCACTGAGAGAGAGCTGCACATCCTCACAACAGAGGAAAAACTCTATAAAGCCATGTCCAAGTGTTTTCAAGTGCCAGTAGCCACAGCGCAGAGCAGAGTCAAAGATTACAAGGAGTTGCACACAGCGAAAAATCCCAGAGGATGTGGTGGGAAGCCAAAAGAGACAACTGGTAAGAATAATAGTGTGAGAGGCCAAGAAGTAGTGTTCAAAGCATCACCGCAGAGGCCATCCTGATGAATCTGAGCAAACCCATTACCGACGTCTCAATACAGACACTCCAGCAGACGGCCGGTCTCCACGGACGCCGAGCAAAGGAGGACGCAGACAAAAATGTTGTTATTGGGACGCAAGTATGTGATTTTTTTGTTCGGTGAAAGAAAGAAGAACAGCATCATGAGAAAAGATGGACAGCATTAAAATTCTGGAGAAAAACGGAAAAAAACTTGTCCTCGGGCGGTATTGAACCTTCCAACAAGACAACGATCTGAAACATGCAGCCAAAGTGGTCGAGAAGTCAGAGTCCAGCCCGGAATCCCATCGAGAATCTGTGGAGGGGACCGAAGACCAGAGTGGTGGAAGGAAGACTTCCGACCTCAGACCTGGAGATCATCACAAAGAGGAAGTGGAGCAAAATCCCAGCGGAGACATGAAGAAAGCCCGTTAGCAGTTGCTTGAATGACAAATAAAGTCCTTGTCATCGATCACTTGTGAATAATTTTTAACACGATATATTTGGGAAACATGTAAAACCAGAAGTAGTTAAACCGTAGAATTAACATCTCTAACGCTGTGCTTAACATCATTTGTGATGGAATTTTCAGCCACAAAAAAAAATCTATTAGTCAAATAAAAACTCATTATGAATCAAACTCTGGCATGGGTATGAATAATTTTGGGTTTAACTGAAATAATTTAGACATGTTTTAACTTTAATGAAGATCCACACGTTTTCTACAGTTGTCTCATTTACATGCAATCAAATTACCATATGAGGTTTCATGAAATTGGACAGAAGCATCAAGCACATTATGGACATGTATTGATTAGTAGCGGGTAGATTTGTCCATATTTTCTAATTAATAGTAACTGAAGTTCCTTTCATTTGTGCTATAATTAGCTTCGCCTCTTGTTCCTGCACTTGGATGTTTGAGCCTCACAGTGCAGGAAGAGGCAGAGCTCAACACTAGACAACACATTCATCACTGATCACCATCACTTCAGGGTGGAAAATCTCTCTCTGCAGTTTAAGAAGCGTACAAATGAGCAGAAACTGTGACATCACAACTTGGGAGCCAGTCGTGGTTCAGCCTGCAGCTGACACAAGCATGAAATGGATGCTGTACACTGAGTTTTTGGTGATCTTGAGTCCAGCAGTTCAACTTTTCAAATGAAAAATGCTGCACTATTTATCGAGCCCAATTATTTTTACGAGCAGAGGTGGAAGTATTTGTACTTTGTTACTGTACTTAAGTAGATTTTTCATGTATCTGTACTTGAGTATTAATTTTTCTGACGACTTTTTACTTTTACTCCTACATTTGAACACGAATATCTGGACTTTCTACTCCTTACATTCTCAAAACTGGCTCGTTACTTGTTTCAACCTCTGCGGACGACGACGTGACGTAAAAGACGTAACAACAAACGTCTTTATCTTTGCCAGCAGTGTGTGATTTGTCACTGAAGCTCAACACAGCCCTGCCTGCCTTAGCTGCATGCGAGAGGCTTATTAGCACTGCAGGACTGATGTTCAGACCCACGTCTTCATTCAGAGAACTTTGAGAACCAGCTTCTACTGAGGCTCAATAAAAGATGTTGGTAGTCTTGAAGAAATGAGTGTTTCCATGTTGATTATAATGATGCTGAAATAGAAAACTGTCCAGTGATGTTTTTTCTCTGTAGCAGCACTGTGCAGGTTCCCTAAAGGATGAAAACAATCCTATTGTGTGTCTTAAAACTTTTTTCGTTTTACAGAGTTATCCAAAGAGGCATCGTCGAAGCTAAAAATTCATTTGTACTTTTGTACTTAAGTTAATTTCTGAACCAGTACTTTTTTACTTTTACTGGAGTAAAGGAGTTGAATCAGTACTTCTGCTTTAACCAGAGTCTATTTTTACATGAGTATCTCTCCTTCTTCTTAAGTAAAGAATGTGAGTACTTTTGCCATCTCTGTTTATGAGTGAAGAGTAGCAGATTTTGCTTTTAGTAAATAGTAAAGTAGTTTACTGAACATTTTTTGTTGAAAACCAATATTATTTTTTAGCTGGAGGGGATATTTGCAAACAAATAACCACAGATTCTCATTATTATTGTATTATTAATAGAATAATTTGGAACAAAGCAACAAACACACAAAACAAGCAGTCAGATCGGCAGAGCATCAGTACTTTTCTTATCTGTGGCGGTGAAAGTGTGTCCCCAACATTAAAGAACTGTACCGAGTGATCACAACTTCGGCTTCTACTTCATCCACTGCGACCAAAGCGTACCTGAGTTTGGTCCACTTGTAAGCTCCAGTAGTGAGCGTGAAGGCTCCGATCTCCAGCTGCTGCACGTGCATGGCCAGGATGCGCGCCGACGGCAGGGTGGGCCTCTTCTTCGTGTGCTCTCCCCCCATGAGACACAAGTCGTCACTCTTGAGAAAAACCTGAGTGGGGGAGTCATTTATCCACACAGCAAACAACTTACTGGAAAAGAAAATTTCCAATTACACAAAGGTACTTGAAGCAGTGATAAGCGTGTCCTGTTTAGCGGCGTGATGTAATTTAAAAGACTGAGGATGTTCAATAAACGTAACCTCTTTAGATTTGAAAGCTGATGGAGCATAACATTTCTCTCACAGCTAAACAGGAAAGTCGGTAGGCGATGCATGTTTTGTTGATGCATCAGGTTCTTTTAAGGTTAACTTTCAGAAGGCGCCAGCTGTAAGCTCACAGCACACAGGCAAGTTGCTTGAAGCTGTTTTTCTATTGATTTGTTTGCCCTGCAGCCCAGTTTCACAATATGTGGCCGTTCTAGCCTTCAGTTACAAACACCATCCATGTGTGGCTTCTCAAACACACACACACACACACACACACCTGCACGGCTCGTAGCTCCTCCAGGATCTCACACACCTTCGAAGCCAGATGTTTCCAAGCCTGTTGGCAAAAACGGAGGAAGTTTTATTTAGCATCACCAGAATGAAGGCGGATTATACAGTTGCTTCAATGTAATACCTGAGTCAATGAATACAACCTGCCTTCAGATGAAAATATGGAAATTTATTCTATTTTCTCAACACTGGTGTCTTTGAATTGTGATTTTTTTTTAATTACTCCTCCACATTCCTCCTCAGTGCCTTCACACTCTCTACATCTTATTTGAATGCATTAATGTTAATTTCTCATTTGTGAAACTAATTGAATACCGTCCAAGTTCTATCGCAGTTGAAGAAAACATTTAACTTGAGGGCACGCGACTTATTACACCAACTCAGAACTTGAATGAGGAGGAATTTATGATTTGCAGCCTTACCGGTAATTGCCTGACAATCACGTTCTCCAGACCCCCGAGGACCTGCATGGCGGTGGCGAAGTTCCTTGATTCGTAGCAGTATTTTCCTATCCACAGATACTTCGTCAGCAAAGCAACTTGTGTCTGCGAGAGAGGAGAGGCTTGCAATGAAAAGAAAAACTGAGGGGAAAAAAAAAAAATGCTAAAAAAGCAAAATGCAAAAATTGAGTGACTCTCTAAAGCGGTATGCTCCAGTTAACAGCATAATGAGGCAAAGGAAAAACCAAGAAAAATATAATGTGTAGCCAAAGTGCATAGTTCACATTGTACCAGTCATCCACTATAGCAGGAAAAACAGTTCAGCTGACAATCGCAAACACTGTGAAGAGGTTAAAATGTTTGCATCTGAGATGGTGAATGGGAGCTGCAGAGAAGCCTTTGAAGTTCAAGAAGCAAACGCAGTAGAAATCATCAAGCGTAATTGGTGAAAGCATTTAGAATTTTAATTTCCAGCAGCGGGATTATCAGCTTGTAGCTATACAAGCACTAAAAGGTCACGGAGACGAGGAACGGCTGGATGCGCTCAAAACATCAGGTTGAATGATGAAAGAAACTGAAATCTGAACTGAGGTTGATGTGCCGAAGATGGTTTAAGTGTCAGTTAAAGCCCGTTTAGACATGCAGTTCTTTGTGTTAATGTGAATGTGTCAGCCTCGTGTCTGAGGATCAGACAGCAGCGGGATCCACACGAGAGGCTCCACAGTGGGAAAGTTGCTGCAGTAACTTCATTGATTGCTTTTAATTACGAAGCGTCCCTGTCATGGAGACAGGATCGGTCTGGATCTAACAGTTAAGTCACACTGTGTAGCTTACATTGCTGCAGTTAGAAAAATGATTATAACACAGGAACAGAGTGTTCAGTGTTTAGGAAAACATTAACATTCTATTAGTTATTTGGATGGTTTGATAAGATGCTATTCATTTGGATTTAGTGAAAAATAATGCATCGACTTCAAAGTGATTTTCATCTGAATGACAGAACGTCACCACTTTAAAATCCTCATGCTGCATGTTCTGTGTTAAAATGGCTCCAGAGTATTTGTTGTGTCAGTATGAAAAATAATCAAGTGGGTGCACAGATGTCATACATTTTGTCTCGTGTGTCTACTCTGAGGAGAAGAAAGTACCTGTGGTGCAACTACAACAAAGATAATAATAATAGTAGTAATCGTTTATTTTTTGTTGACTTTCTCAGCTTTTTGTAAGACACTAATGACAGCTGCGGCGGGTTCCAGGCCCGTATGTTCTTGTTCCAAACACTCTATAAACCATTCAACCATGAAACCAGAGAAGAAACAGAAAGAACATATGGGGAAAGGCCGTGACTGACACGAGAGTCTATGTCCGAAGAGAAATCAAAGCCCGCGCTGTGACAGTAATGGCTGCCTTTTTTTTTTTTTTTTTTTTTCCCAGCTGACCCTGCTACTTTCATGAGTTATGTCTCCTCTCACCTTGACAGAGTCGCAAATGACTATTTCAGCAGAGATCCAGTTAGCGACGCTGTCAGCATGTGCGAGCAGCTGCTGCAGGTAGGTGTCTGACGGCGCCCTCTCGTGTACAAGCACACTGCTGCTCTCTGCTGGTGGGATGTGCGCCGACACGTTCCTGGTGGGGAAAACAGAGACGTACGGAAATCTGTACTGGAAACTGTCACTTAAATAACACGATTACATTAACAATAAAAACATATCCAATTGCTGCGGGTGTTCAAAATGTGCATTTGCATATTTTATGTGGAACTGAGTAAAAGATAAAACAACAGTGGGTCGACCGCTAAATTATTTGCAGCTTGACTGAAAAGAATCACATTAATAACAGAATACAATAGATTTCACCACATATTCATCATTGTTCATTTTACTGGCAACGAATTAGAGATAATCCTGTTATTTTAATGTTTTATAATAAAACTTAAAATAACTGTAAAAATTTAAACACCATTACAACACGATAAACTGCTACACGCTGTATCTGAGGATGGGAGTAATTTGCTCCGTTATTAGATTAGGGGAGCTAGACTTTAATAGCTTATCATTAGTTTATCGACAAAAATGACTCCTATATACACACAAATGAAATATTTTGCGGAACCAACTACGAACAAAAAAAATGCCCCTCAGAAAAACGCACACTATTTCTATTAGTATACGGCCATAAGGTTAAAGCTACGGAATTAAAACTGTCTGAATTCATGCATGTGGATTACATGATTTTACTTTATTCAAATAGTCAGTTTATTACACTTCATTTCTGCATCTGAGCTGTTCAAGCAGCCTGAGCAGAATGATTCTTTCAGTGAACGATACGATACGATAAAGTCATATTTATGAAAATCATGTAAAAGTTTTGATGGAAGCTGTATCATTAATTGGTACACACGGTATCTGTATATTTTATGCTGCAATCATGTTATCAAGCCAACAGGACCTTGTTCACTGTGCAGAAGTACAAACACTCTTAATTGGTAGAAAGTGTAGAAAAAGAAGAGTGGATGTAAGAGTGAAGCGGCTTAGCTGGTGCGTTAACCTCTACACACTTCCTGAGGGGTCACTGAATGTTTTATGATGTGTGAAAGTGATGTGAATCATATGCTGCGGCCCTCACAGCCGCCACATCTGAAGCACTTTGGGGAACATTGAGTCCACTTTTTATACAGCGTGCTCCACCAAAAAATCCTTTTTCAATAGAGTACGGGAACCTTGTGATTTATGCCCCGGAGCACTGAGGCTATTTTGAAGACTCATAGCGGAACAACTACCTCACTAATGCCGTCCTTACAGTTTTCGTACTCACTTGTTCGGGGTCAAGACTTTGTCCCTGACTCCTTGTATTCTGGAGTTGAGGAAATGAACTGGATGACATCCTTGGAATATTTCCTGCATTACAAGAGCTTTAAGTCAAAATCAAATCATGAGTTGCCTTGCTGGTCATTTATAGCGACATGTCTCCCTCTAGTGGTCAAAAAGGATAACAACACCATACAGACTGAGGATGTGCGTACCTGCTGCAGGAGGGTGAGCTGCTGGGCGATGTGCTGTGCGCTGTATTCATTCTGGCTGAAGGGGAGTCGCTCTTCACCGTGCAGGCAAACGTTAGAGACGTCATCCATCAGGGAGCCGTAGCAAGGCATGGGCAAGGCGGCCGCGATGGAGAAGGCCTTGTCTTTAGACATGGATGGAGAGGTCTCCACCACACGAGAGATCCTCCACTGGAGAGAAGAGAATTGGGCATTTTTGGAGAAACATGTTTTGAATTATTAACACACTGCTTCTATGATAATGTCAACTGATTGCAGAATGGCATGTATGTAATGTATCCTCTTATTTACAGTGGTAAGCAAACTGGAATTCTTTGAATATTAGCAAAACTATAGCTATGCCAGGTATGGATTTAGGTAGGAAATACCCGCATACAGAAAGTGATTAAATTTTTTTTTATATATAGTTTCTTTCCTTATTTTGCAGAGGCAGCACACAATTGAAAGTAACTGCACCAGATTTTGGTAGCAATTAATTTGCATCTGTTGTCCCTGGGAAGGCACAGACAACAAAAACACAACACAAACCAATAAATACACTACATGAAAAAAGTCATCAGATAAGATAAGATAAGATAAGATAAGATAAGATAAGATATGCCTTTATTTGTCTCACAGTGGAGAAATTCACATTGTTGATAGCAGCATTAAACAGAGGTACACATATACGAGACAAAAAAATAAAAAAAATAAAAAATGTACATATAAATATAACAAATAGTGCAAACAAGGAGAGTACTGCAAACAGAATATGAAGTGTGGGATAATATGTAAAATCAGTAATAAAAATTTTAAACATGGCAATCATTATTAGTGACTGGTTTTAAATACTGCAAAGCTTCCTGAATCTAGAATGTTTGCGGGCTTGTCACAAGCAACCCAAGGCAAGGCAAACTTGGACTCATCATTAAGAAACCAACCTTTCTGCCGAGATCCTCAGTGGACGAATGCAAACACACAGCGTCATCGTCTTCATCCAGGCTGAGCAGGCTTCCTCTCAGCTGACTGGCAGCTGTCATACTGGGAATGCCGTGCAGACCAGCGAGAAGAGCCTCACCTCGGTTGTCAACGGGAATCACCTGTCGAAAAACGAGGCAACTCCTGAATGTATCTCATCATTGTGTTTTAGAATCAGGAACAGATAGACAGACTAACAATGACTGCAGTGGTTGAAATCCATTACAAGTGTATTTTAGAGCAAGAACACACTTCATTCATGACATCTAGTGATTGAGTTCAGTCATTTCTGTGCAGTGCAGAACAAAATGTACACACGAGTGGCTACCTCAGTGTTGAGGAAGTTTTCTAACGTGGTGAAAAGGCTGGACTTTGGTGTGAAGTCTACTGGTTTACAGTCTGTTATCCAGAACTGGAGCAGATCCAAACTGCGATGGAAGATCCTTTCACTGTCTCCTGACATATCTGGACCTTCCCTGGCGTGGAAAACAAACACCGTCATCATAAAGTTTCTGTCATTATGCTTCTCTGTGTTGTCATGAGGGCCTCGATATATAGTACCTTGCAGCACAGATGAATTTATCCATTATGAATTGCAGTAGCTGCTCAGGAGTGCAGAAGAAACGATAAGTGTACAAGAACTGCTGGATGTAGCCCTCAACAGCAGCATTTCTGCAATGAAAAGGACCATCAGTCGCAGCATAAAGTTAAGTAACCAACACAGTTTAATAACATTGCTTGCTGAAAAATATTAATATTGCCTGTGGAAACACATGATTAACAGAGAATCTTTTTTTTTTTTTTTTCTTTCCAGCTCCTGGCCATAGTCAACGTGGTCAGCTCCTCCTGAGGACCCTGTGTGTGAGATGTAGTAGCACATCTGGATTTCCACTCACTTGTGCACAAAACATTTTAAAAAAATAATCTCCAGGGGATAATTTCAGGGTGACTTTGTTTACTTTAATAGCTCCTTTCAGTGTTAGTAGTCACGTCATAGCAAAGTTATTCAAAATACAGCACTGTTAATGCTGGTGGGTCTCATGAGAGCGACCAGACAGATGGGAATTCATGAAGATCCTCTCTGTTTAGCTAAACCTGCAGTATGATTTAGGTGCTAATGGACTTACATGCGTATTATAATAATTGGCGATACAAACTGCAAACAAGTCTTATCAATGCCTTAAGAAGAAAAAATAACAGCTTCAGCTTGAGGCAGTAGAAGCTGAGAATGAATGGGCCTGTGACCCCATTTCTTTCATTGTTGATGCCGTTGCCCATAGCAACAAATGCAAACCAGACTTGGAAATGCCAGACCTCACCACAGCAGTGATATTGTCATTGTTTACAGGTCAGATTAGAATTAAGGTTGGAAACTTCCAATGCTACTGAGCTGGAAATAAAACTAAACAATGTGTGTGTGGGTAAGAGTAACCAATTATACATGTGTTTGGCATTGTTCAACGTCAAACCAGAGAAAATGTGAGTATTTTACCACAATCTAATGCAGGGATCTCCAACTCTGGTCCTCGTGAGTTAATGTCCTGCAGGTTTTAGGGGTTTCCATATTGCAACACACCTGACTCAGATTAATGGATCTCCAACAGCTTGTTCTCAAGTTCTGCGCAAGTCTGTTAATGAGCCATTATTTGAGTCAGGTGTGTTAGAGTACGGAAACGTCTAAAACCTGCAGGACAGTAGCTCACGAGGACCGGCGTTGGAGATCCCTGATCTAATGTATGTGTAGGATTATTGGAGAGTAAGGATTGTTGGTTTGACCTTCTGATGGAATATATTAGCAATAAAAAAAATGAAGAAAAAAACCCCAAACTTATCCTTCAACAGTGTATCAAACACCCCATCCAGTGAACATTTTATACCACGTAATGTTTATATTCTAGAAGAAACTTAATGAATGAAACAAACAGTCAGCGTTGTGTCTGAGCATTTTCACCATGACGCTGCAGCGTACCGATGACGGTCTCAAAAACACAGATTCAGACTTAACACACCCAAGAATCAATCCTGTCTGTTTGCAGGCTGAGGCTTTCTGTCTCATTATTCTTCTGACAGTGCTAACATAACGATATTTAGCAGGCATTATCATTGACTGCAACAAAAGACAGATTTTACAACTGTGACGCAACATTCGTGTGTGGATTTCTGTTTTCAAGCCTTAAGTTTTGGCTGTTGCCATCAGGGTCTTTTGAAACCGGACAAAACAAGCGATTGGTGTATTTGACTGAGAACTTGGGGACAATACACACACCGACACAAAAGGAACCTGAAAATCACTAAAACCAACCCTGATTTATCGTCTCTTTTAATCTAAATTAGCGCTTAATTTATGAAATGGGCATTGTGCTTTATTAAAGAAGGCATGAAAGTAGCAATGAAGACCATAAACTCATTATTAAAATGTGCACTGAGGTAATAAAATAAGTGAGAAGTCGAGTCATTTTCTCATAGCGCACTATAAAATGAAATATCTATTTGCAAACGAAGGAGTCGCCCCCTGCTGGTGGTTAGAAAGAATACAGGTCATTTCTACGCTGGCCTCAGTTTTTGGACTGAGAGGCTACGTCCATCTTGTATATACAGTCTGTGGGCATGATGCCTGGCATGTTCACCGTCTTGGTTCAGTGTGTTAGCATAGATAGATAAGATAATGAGCACATTCTGGACCAAAAAGTGACCTGCTGGTGGCGCTACATGAAAAGGGAAGAGAACGCCACAGTCGTTATGATTCGAGCTTTGTGCACAAACTATTCCCGAGATTATCAGGAAATAGTTGAGAGGTCAGAGTGATGCTAAACTTATACCTGCAAAGTGTCACTGAATAGCCAGCTGTAATAAAAGTGCTTATTTCAGGAAAGATGTGTCTGTTGAACAACAAACATGTCATTAAAGATCTCTAGTTTGCTGCAATTTGGTAATTTTCTGACCTAGTCTTTGTGAAATCTCTTTGTTGGTCACCTCAAAAGCATCAAGGAAGATAAATAATTTAGCAAAGAACTCAGATCACATGGAGGGCCCAAAGCTTTGAGACGTTATCAAAATTCATTTGACCTTGACGAGAAGAAAAAAAAAAACACAATGGCTTGCACACTTTGAATGTCAACCTTCATCAATAATACCTGGCGTAGAGGTAAGCCATGAGGCCCAAAGGAGACCCAGCCTGCAAAGTGGTCTTCCCTTTACTGGTGCCAAAGCTAAGAACAGAGGGGTCCTCAGAGGACTGAAGGTCCAGAGAGTCAGGTTCACAGACAGCCAAGGAGGGCAGTAATGAAACCTCCAAACCCCACTGGTCCACACTCAGGATCTGCAGGAATGAAAGGAAGGATATCAAAGGTTAGGAGATCCAGATTGTTAGAAAATGCATGAGAAAGAGCAGTGTGGGAAAAGAAGAAGTCAGTACCTCAAGGTATTTCTTCACACAATCCAAGAAGACGACCTTGGATTTCAGTTCTTCAAGATGCAACTTGAGTTTGGAGAGCATCACTTTGCTCTCAGAGCCTTTAAGAAGCAGCACACACAATGTTTCATAGGTCACACTGGAAACGCTGCTATAAATATCATTTTCATACTTGAACACTGTTTTAAAAAGGGCACCCCACCTTTGTTTTTTCTCTCCTGCTGAATCAGCTTTTGGTAGAAATTTCTTGTTTTCTTTAGATTCCTTGTTTCAATTATCAGCTGCTGCTGCAGTTCCTGTTCAAAGGAAATCACACAGAATCACACAAAGGGCCCTAAAACTGCACCACATGCCTTTCACTGAGAGAAGCCGTTGGGTGTTCTCAGAGTGTATGGGGCAGCGTTTTATTTTTTCCTCCCTTCACCGTGGCAACAGAGCGCAACAGCTCTTTTGAAGTGAAATGAGTGAGAAGTCGCAGCAGCACGGCTCTTAAGGTGTGTTATTAGCTCTTACACAAGCTTTCTGAAGGAGCGGTGGTGCCATCAAAGTGTGCAAACACAAAGACTATTCATTAATATTCTTTTGCAAATGATAATAGCTTCCTCTGCCAAGGGCTAAGTTCAACATATTAATATTCAGATCCAGTTTGGAGGGAATAATATGCCAATTATCTTAAAGTCCCCCACATGTTCTTGTCCTATTTACCCCAAAGCCTGACCGTGGCCACTTCATTACAGACAGAGAAATAATTCCTGCACTTAATCAAAAACCAGGTGATGTGCTGAATGAAACTAAGATGTATTCAGTAAGCACTTCGATGAAACTCTGCTCAGGATTTTAAATCTGCAGTCTATGAACATAAAGAAATGCAACAGAAATAACTTAAACATTTAATTATAAAGGAAAGTTTGAAGGAAATATTCCACAAGTCTTCATTTTATTTCTGTTGTAGGCATATTATTCAGAACCTAATAGCAAACAGACTTTATGAAAGTGAGGCTGAACCTGTTCAATAAATCATGCGGCTGCTGTTTGTTCAGTCACGTAAGGTTAAGGTCAAAGATGACTCACTGACAGCAGCAGCATTCACTGGTTTACCCACCTGTGCCTTCACATTCAGACATGGTGATCCTGTGTGCTGTCCCAGATTTACTGCATACTGGGTCACCTCTGGACCGAAACAATCCTCCCCGTAGAAGGCTGAGGCCCAGTCCGAGCTGAAGCTGAGCCCCGGACCCTCGGCTCTGGAGCCGGGGGAGAGAAGCCGCTCTGACGCCAGAGAGTCGCTGTCCTCCATGTCCTCCGAGAAGTCTGGGCTCATCTGCTCGTCGTGGGCTCCCATCAGCGCGTCCTCTCTTCCCGATAGAAACTCGGCTTCAGAGGGGCTTTCATCGCTGCCCCCCGCTGAGTGCTCTCCTCCCTCCATGACCCCTGAGTCTGAACTGTCAGCGTTCACACCTCGAATAGTAAATACAAACAGCAGAGAGAGAGAGAGAGAGAGAGAGAGGGAGAGGGTAGAGAAGAGGAAACAGAGAGGGACTGAATCACATGGAGAGCTGAAAAACAAACTGGATCTGTGACGAAAGCTCAGCGAGCGAGAGACCCAAGGGTGGTGCTGGGGGTATTTGTTGCAAACACAATGCATTGACTGTTTAACACATGAGCCTAAAAAGGCAATTCACGCTCAAGCTCTGTCACTATCTTTTTATCTCTAGTGCCTTGTAAGAGCCTGTTTGTAATCAAGACCTCACGTCTAACACGTCTTAATAACAAATGCAGATGCATGTGTGAGTGTGTGCGTATGTGAAGGCTACTGGCTGGGAATGACTTCAAGAGGGGGGAGAAAAAAAAACTCTTTGGACTCTTATGAATGTGCTGCAAACTTAAGAACAGCATCCAACAGCCAGTCATGGCCCTCGTGACTTCAGTCAGCAGTCAAATACAGAGAAATACAGCTGAGAAACAAATCTGT